GCCATTGCCCAATCTGTACTCGCACAAGAGCAGGAGTCTAATGTGGAGAAAGACATGAAAAGATTCAAGCAGAATACTGTGGCCCGCAGTCTCACTGCAGAAGACTTTGAGAGGGCAGAGCTTTCTATCGTAAAGTATTGCCAGCGCATGGCTTTTAAAGAAGAGCTACTCAGTTTGGAGAAAGGCCAGCCAGTAAGTTCATCCAGCCATCTCCGTAAACTCAACCCACAATTGGTAGAAGGTATCCTGAGGGTTGGTGGGCGGCTAGGCAGACTTGAAATGCCGGCAGAGTTGAAACATCCAGTTATATTGTCAAAAGATCTCCATGTGTCCGAACTGCTCTTGAGGCAAATACACCAGGAGGTTGGACATGGTGGTCGGAACCACATGCTCTCAAAGTTGAGAGAGAGATATTGGATAACTGGATCGACTACTGCAATAAGAAAGGTGCTCTCAAGATGCGTAGTTTGTCGGCAATTGCATGCACGGCCAGTTTCCCAGCAGATGGCAGACTTACCCCTTGAGAGGATCATTCCAGATGAGCCTCCGTTCACTCGTGTGGGCGTTGATTATTTTGGGCCGTTTGAGGTTAAGAGCAGACGAAGTGTAGTAAAGAGGTATGGTGTCATTTTTACCTGCCTAGGAATCAGAGCCATCCACATTGAAGTGGCACAATCGTTGGATACAGACTCTTTCATCAATGCTCTCAGGCGCTTCATGGCTCGACGAGGTCAAGTTAGAGAACTTCGCTCAGACAATGGGACTAACTTCGTAGGAGCAGAGCGGGAGCTGAAGAATGCTATTGAGAAATGGAATCTGAGTCAGATCAATAAGTTCATGCTGCAGAAGGGAATAAAATGGAGCTTTAATCCTCCATCTGGCTCTCATCATGGTGGAGCCTGGGAGCGGCTCATTAGATCAGTGCGAAAAGTGCTCAATTCCACCTTGAAAGTACAAAATCTTGATGAGGAAGGTCTGCAGACTGTGCTCTGTGAGGCAGAAGCAATTCTCAATGGCCGTCCTATCACTAAAGCTTCTATGGATGTGAATGACCTTGAGTCTCTGACACCCAATCATCTGTTGCTACTGAAGACTTCGCCAGCGCTGCCACCAGGAGTGTTTGAGGAGTCAGATATGTATGCACACAGAAGATGGAAGCAGGTCCAGTACATCTCCGACTTGTTTTGGAAAAGATGGGTGAAGGAGTATCTACCCCAGCTACAGGAACGTCAGAAATGGACAGGAGCCAAACGAAACCTCACTGAAGAAGATCTTGTTCTTGTTATGGATCACACCGCCCCTCGAAACTCGTGGCTGATGGGTCGAGTGATTCAAACTTTCCCGGACAAAAGGGGATTCGTCCGCCAGGTGAAGATTAAGACACGCACCAGTTGCTTGGATCGGCCAATTACCAAGGTGTGTCTCCTGCAGGAGGCCGAAGCTACCTAGAGACAATTCGCATCAGTAACTAGGCCCCAACGTTTTTTTTGGAGATTCATATTCTTGTAACATATTTTTTTGTGATTTTGTCCGATTTTTGATGGATTACTTTTTGGTTTTGGGGTTTGTGGGGGGGGGGGGGGTTTGGTGCACAAGTGACTCTGGACTGCTTTGCTGTACTTTGTTGGACTTTAAGGACATGAACTCCGTAAGTTTCTGAAGTGAAACATTATGGACTCATTATGTCTCTTGATTTTGGGTTTTGTGATGGTAATTATTGTGCAATAATTAAGGGGCTGGTGTGTGAGAGCCATAATGTGTGGGGTTGCTATGGTAACGTCAGGGGAGGTGCGTGAGTCACGTGAGCTCTGGGGATATGCCGGGAACTTTAAATATGGCAGACACCGGCGTTCAGGTGAGAAGTCGTAGGGATCTGGGTAGCCGTATTTCTTTGTTGACCGTTTGTTTTTGTTAAGTTTTGTACACGTACACGTATGGCCAATGTGTTATGTGTTAAATCCTCAAAGCTGATGATTAAATGCCACTTAAAAAACGCAGTTACGAGTAGCGTTCTTCATCCACATTAGCAGTGCGTCATAAAGGTACAGGACCCGTTCCCCTCGTTCTCCAGCGACACAGGATAACAGTCGTTACAATGTATATTGTAAAAACCAGATTTGGGAACTATAAAATGCAATAATGAACCTTTTTTTATTGTGCATACATTTCGGCTTCAATCGATTACCCGGAAGTGAAACGATTTTGTTTACTTCATCCCGGGATTGGTGTTACCCAGAGATTGTAGTGGACCGTGAGATCTGTTCCGTGCAAATGCGCCATGTCTGTAATTTGTAAAGTAATAATTCCGCCGCAAATGACCTCCTGTATTTGTCCAAACACAGACGTCCTGTGATGATACTTATCCTGCGAATCTTGTCAGTGATTGTGATTCCTAATGCCGGGTTGTCAATGAGCAGAGGAGTCGCGTATCGCGGCTGTGAACACAGCTGCAGAGTCGTGGCTGATGCTTTCTCTGTGAGGTCTATGGAGAAGTGTAGAGGACAGTGTAATGTGTTCACTGATACAAAATGATCAGAAATGGGTTACATTTGTATGTTTACTTTGCACTTTGTGGTAATACAGTACAGACGTGTTGATGCAACTGCTTGTCGGCTCGCACGTTTGTCAGTATGTAGTGCGTTCATGGGTAGTCCGTACAAACAGCATTGTTAAACATTGCAGACAGCACTGTAGAGGAGTAAAATCCACATGTATGTTTTTGTCTTCATGGTCCTTGTGGCTGCTGTGGTCAGACACCAGTCTTTATGAACTGCGTGAAGCGGAGAGAGCCACGCACGTACGGCCGTTATGTCAGATGTCAGAGTAAATATAGTAATTTACAGACATTGCTTATCCAGTGTGAATGCACTGCAAGATCTCAGACATCCTCCGTGATTATCACAAATTATCAGGGGTCCACAGGTGATACTAATCCCATGCGAATAGGGTAATTGATTGACGCCGAAATGTATTTAATACAAAATAAAAAAGGTTTTACTGCATTTTCTAGTTCCCAAATCCTGTTATTATTTATTAAATGTTTTATAAGAAATGAATTAAATCAAAATGCTCATTTTTGTATATCGCCGTGTGCCTGAAAGTGCAAAATAGCCTTTTTTCGATTTTCCATTTCCCTTCAAAAATAGAAAATGCATTGAACGCAAAAGTACACGGACCCACAATGTATTAACCCAACTTTTCAGTTATCTATTTTTTGAAAATTAAAATCATGTATCATTTGTATTTTACTTGTGTGAACTTTGTATTTTACTTGTGTGAACTTTTATTACAAAAATCAAAATACAATTGTTATGTTTATGCCTATAAAAATGACAAAATGTGCAAGTTCAAGCTGTATTTTATACATTTGGTATACACTGGTTTGGGGCAGGAGCTGCTTTTGCTCAGATCTGATAACATCCACAGTTCAGACGCACATGCAGAAGTTGAGAGTGGATGATATGAAATACACCAGCATTAGGGAGCCTAGAATAAGATTTCAAAAATATAATTTGATGACAGTAGGACTGCCCCAGTATAGTAGAATGTAAATTATTCCGCTTTTTTTATTGTAAAGCCATGCTGCACAGACCTGATGCTATAGGAAGTTTTGAATCTATGTTTAAACTATTATACAGCCTTCAAAAACCTAGACATTAATAAATAAGATAAGATATTCTTTATTTATCGCACAAGGAGGAGAAATTTACATGTCACATTTGGCATGGATAGAAACACTCAGATTGTGCAAAAAAGGGAGGAAATGTGCAAACATATTAAATGCAGGATATATTATGTACATTGAATAAAGTGGCAGTTTAAAGTGGCAATTTAAAAGTGGCAGAAATAGTGAATCAGACACTAATCAGACACTAATCAGAAATAGTGTCAATAGTGCAGGTTTTTCAGTCTTATACAGTGACTTAAAGTGACGCATTGTACAGTCTGACAGCGGTGGGGATCAAGGCCCTGCGGTAGCGCTCCTTTCACTGAGGGTGCCTCAGTCTTCCACTGAAGGAGCTCCTCAGCTCTTCTACAGTCCTGTGCAGTGGGTGGGAGCTGTTGTTCATGATGGAGGTGGCTTTGACTAGCACCCTCCTGTCCCTCACCACCTCCACAGAGTTCAGGGGCAGCCCAGAGTGGATCTGGCCCTCCTGACCAGCTTGTTCAGTCTGCTTCTGTCCCGCTCTGTGCTGCCCAGGGCCCAGCACACGGCAGCGTAGTAAATGGCTGAGGCTACCACAGAGTCATAAAAAGTCCTGAGCAGAGGCCACTCACAAAATCAATGCTTCTGTGTGGCAAGAGCTCTGGTTTGTGCCGTCTTCTCCGTCTGGTGCACACCTTGCACGGTTTTTCCAATGTGATTTTACTGCAAATGGCAAATAAATTCTTCAATCTCGTTTATAAAGTACCAGTTGAATCTGACTGCCACGCAAGAAACTACATATTTGACCTCTTCACAGATCTACTCAATGATTTTATGATTTCAAAATATCCATCCATCCATCATCTACCCCTTAATCCATTTCTGGGTCAGGGGGGGGGGTGGCCAGAGATGCCACCCAGTACACATTGCACCAGCCCCTCTCTGATCCTCCTGCAGGTGGTGAGTCCACAGGAGGACGGCTGCTCTATGGCATAGCCTTGGTCTTTCAGCGGGGGCTTCCGGCAAGGACACAACGAAGGCAGACCAGTGGGAGTTGATGGAGAAGGTCTCGTGGTTGGCTCGAACCCACAACCTTCAGGCTCAAAGGCCAATGCTCTACCAGCTGAGCCACTGTTGATGATTTCAAAATAGAAAACGATAAATAGAATAGCTATTTCTTTACAAGATATGGCTTCACACAACCACCAAAAGAGGGGGAAATATCTGTGATTACATTGTTTTTTTTTTCCTTTTTGGTGTTATACTGGAGAATTTTGGTGAGAAATTTGCAATAAAAAATGGCTTCTCCTTTCAGATTTCTTAAAGTGAACTAGATGCGTGTGATTGTTTTTAGGAGCGCCCCTCTCCAGAGAAGTGGCAGAAGTTGGAGCGTTCCAGAGATTATCGGAATGGGAACCAGCTACGGGAGTACCAGCTGGAGGGCATGAACTGGCTCCTCTTCAACTGGTACAACAGGTCTGTCTGACTCCTCCCCTTGCACTGGTTCCAGACCTTCAGGGAGAAGCGAGAGTTCACCACATCATACATTTTCACATTTCATTTATTGTATTCATCTTGTGCCAGCGACACTACTCTCACATTTTTTGTAGGTTTTTGTAGGTTTATACCAGGGGTGCTCACACTTTTTCAGCATGCGAGCTACTTATAAAAGGATCAAGTCAAAATGATCTACCTACTACAAAAATGCAAATAAATATATATATATATATATATTTCAAAAAATATTCTTTATACCTACAATGTATGTTTATGTACATGCAAAACCGCATGAGCCAATATAGCACAACACAACACAATTACCTATGTACATGTTTTGTCATTACCCAAGTTTACTCTTATGACTTGCACTGAATTGAATCGGCCAGGGATGCATAGTCCGGAAAATTGGTGGCAACTCGCTGGCAAGTTTGTCGTGGTTTAGCTTTCCTGCACTGAGCGCGGTTGTTTGCGCATGTGCAGTCACCTAAGTGTCAGTAAAACATTACTGAGTAAAACACAGATGTCATTTGACTGTGGTGCCATGTCCATGTGCCATGCCTGTTTTTTTTAAATCCAAATATTTCCCCTCCTCAGTTTATAAAATAATTTGCATCCACACATCTGTGTTATCAATCACATTCGTAACATTCCAAACATGTGCGTCTCTTACGTCCTGTCCTGCGTTGGGGAAAAACACAGAAGTGGGCGGAGCTTTGATGCAGACGCCGGTAACGGCACTTTTACAGTCATAGAAGACACTCAGAGTAAAGACGTATGTTTACAAGCACTGACCCCGTCCTCAGCCCTGGTTTAGTCCTGGTTTAGTCCTGGTTTGGTTGTTTTCGAGCGTGAGTCCCCGCAATCACTTTGCTGCTCTCTGATGTGGAGCGAGGGTGTTCGCTGCTGCGAGCATCTCACAGCGAACAGTTTTTAAGGTAGTATGATCCATGCTTCAGTGATCAGAGGAATTTAGGGGGGTACTGTGGCGTGCGAGAACGCAAAACTCCGGTTATCTCTGTCTACACACAAATGCATTAACGGAGTTTTCAAAAATCTCCACTTTGCCCGGAGTTTTTTGTATATATTCGTTTAGAATGTGTAATTTTTTTATTTATTTAATGCGATCTACCAATACTACCTTTGCGATCGACTGGTAGATCGCGATCGACGTATTGAGCACCCCTGGTTTATACCATAGACTTAATGTATTAACGGACAGAGTCACGCCTATCTCCGCCGTTCTAACTAATGGGCCAAAAAATTTGCTCTATTGGAGCTATCCAAAATGGCTGCGAGTGGTCCCGCCCACATGAAAATTGTGAAAAAACGCATCTGCGCATGCGTCAGCTGGCGCGAGCTCCATTCATTTGAACGAGAGACTCATTTGAAGAGAGAATTCACCCCCCTCAGCATTGACACACATGTGGAACGGAGCTTTGGGCCAAGAGCCAGCTTTTGGACCATCCTGTAAAGACGTTTTCGAGAGGTCTGCCAATGCTATATGTTAGCATTGGCTAATTCTACTTCTGGGTCCACCCCCATCGGCCCGGGGTGGTATTGCAAGCATATCAGCGCACGTCATTTTGGCCACTTTTGAGCTGAAACCCGCCCCCACTGGTTTATACACAAGAATCAGGTGAGAGCCGCAAGAGGAACTATTGAAATGCAACAAAGCCCGTAACACACTGAGGCTTTCTTTGCTAGATTGTTTCAAATGTGTCAGAGCCTCTGATCTAGCTCATACTAGCTTGTGACACTGACATCTAGTGGACAAATAATTGAGTGCACAGCAAAATTTCACCATGAAACATAAATGGTAGACAACACTTAATTGTAAAAGTCATTAATTGAGACAATACCTTGTTAGGTTTAATAAGATCAAAATGATTCCAAATCATGGATCTCTGTTTTCCACTTGCAGATGCTATTAAAGTCATCAAATTCACCAACATTTCTCACTACTCAACTTTGTGAAAAAATATTGAAGCATCATTTATACTATGGCTATTTAGTGCCTATCCACTACGGCCCATGTTATCCATTAAAAGCTGTCAAACCAGGGAGGCACGTCAAAACCATAGACTGACGTAGCATTGAAACGGGACTCTAGGCATGGTCCGGTGTGAACGGCCCTTAATGCTCACACAATTGACAACCTCACACTGCACACCGTGAACCGTGATCACAGACACTGTCTTGTCAGTGGCCGGTGTAAGGCCAGTGTTTGCTGCGGTTTTTGCGTGGAACTGTAAAGCGAGTGGCTTTGTTGGTCTGGCCAGTACCCCCCTCAGTTTAGCACAAAGAGGCCTGCCTTTTACAGTTGTTTACAGACCAACATAAAAAAAAAATGTGGCTACGGTCTTGTTCCCGAGTGAGGGTAGGATGAGAGATTGACAGACGGATCGGTGCAGCGTGTTCAGTGATGCGTTTGTTGTAACGGACCATTGTGGTGAAGAGGGAGCTGAGCCCATAGGCAAATTTCTCAATTTACTGGTCAATCTACGTTCCCACCCTCACCTATGGTCCAGAGCTTTTGGTACTTAACGAAAGGACACGATCGCTGATGTAAGTGCCTGGGTGCCCTGGGTGAGGAGAGGTTGGACTGCAATTATTAAATATTAGTTATGAATCTTCTTGAGTGATTCTATCCATGCCAGATGTCACATGTAAATTTCTCCTGTGTGAGATCAATAAAGTCTCTTATCTTATCTAATCTTATCTTTTAAATTATATTCTTAATATTAATGAAAATATTTACTATTCTACTCAAATCATTCAAAGAAGTTTTGTAAACTTGTAAAACCCCTACAACTGGATGTAAAATCCACACTTCAACGTAAAATAAACAGTTTCATAATTTGAATAGCTTTACCTGATTTCAATATGTCTTCTCACACTTGTCCATTTTACAGGAAAAACTGCATCTTAGCTGACGAGATGGGTTTGGGCAAGACCATCCAGTCCATCACATTCCTGTACGAGATGTTCAACCTTGGCATCAGGGGGCCCTTCCTCATCATCGCCCCCCTGTCCACCATCACAAACTGGGAAAGGGAGTTTAGGACGTGGACCCATTTGAACGTGATTGTCTACCATGGCTCACAGATCAGCCGGCAGATGATCCTGCAGTATGAGATGTTCTACAGGGATGCTCAGGTGAGGGCTTTTCTCCAGGGCCGCCTCCCCTTTCAAAAATGTCAGGTATGTGTGTAAACAAAGTCTTAGGGCCCGTCCCAATTCTGAGGGCACTTCAGTTATGGGTGCCTTCAACAGAAAAGTGTCCTCCAATACGGGAGTGCACTTGTAGGATATTCTCCCTAAAAAATAGGACACCCATGCATCTAGGGTACAATATGCAAATCAGCGTAGCAATTTCACCACAGATATGACTTTATGAAACAATGTATTTATTCAAGTGAGACGTTCTTAATTGTATTTCATATGAAGAAAATTTGCTCAAATTAGGTACAGGACTGCTCCATATCAGGCACACACACTTACGCACACAGAGACAGACACACATATACACACACACACACAGAGACAGACACTCACGTACGCACATGCAGCGGTCACTTAGCGGGCAAACGTCACCACATACGGCACCAACACATGATTAAGAAAAAAAAAACACTTCCACACGTTCATTATATACTTGCACGTATGTTGTTTACTTTCATTAGCGCGACTTTGCCTGACAGCTACTTTACCAACTATTGTAATGCAAGTGAGCTCCGGAGCTTACTTTCGCCTTTTTAAGGGTGTGAGTGCACTCGCCGTTGCGCCCTAAGTATTGGGACACCCTACACCCCCCGCGGGCACACGCAAAATCTAGGGCAAGGGTACAAATTAAGGGCTAGAATGAAAAGTGGGACGTGGCTAAGGTAATTTACTGTGTGTATTCACACAAAAGAATATCCACCTGTGATTAAGGGTGGGTGGTATTGGCAGAAGTTAATATTTACCTCTACCATGTGTGTTATGTTATCAACAGGGTTTTGTTTGCCTGTTAATATAGTGTTTAATTGCACTGTGGAAATGCAATGCTTGTGCTCCTGTGTGAAAATCAAATGCTAAACAAAGAAGACAAAATGTTTATTAATTACATTTTCGCTATATTATATTGTTTCGCAATTGTATTTACAATTGGAGTTCCAAAGTTTGAGTAATTAGCCAACACTCAGTATGTAGACTGGGACCAAAGTGGTTGGAAGCAACGCCAAAGAGTCAGTTTTCTAGTGTTCTATGTATTGTCATGCCTTGCATACTATTACATACTAATTTCCGTTGTCCCCAGGGTAACACAATTCCGGGGGGGCTGAAGTTCCATGGGCTGATCACCACCTTTGAGATGATCATGGCCGACTGTCCGGAGTTGAAGAAGCTCAACTGGAGATGTGTTGTGATCGATGAGGCGCACCGACTCAAGAACAGAAACTGCAAACTCCTGGAGGGCCTCAAACTCATGAACCTGGTCAGTGCGAGACTCTCCAAATATTTTCATTTTGGAGGTGATTGAATTAGTATAGGCTTTTTGCTTCATTCAATTCCTATTCTCAATCAAGGGACATTTAGAAAAGTAAATTTGTGATCAATTGCATTAATTTTAACTGTAGTTAACATTTTTCCCTGTTATAAATTTTATATACTGGTATATATTAAACTGGTTTAATCTTCATTTCATTATTGGCCACAACTGCAAGACAAATTTGGGATTTTATTCATATTTGGATATTTTTTCAGGATAAACGGCGTTGCTAACGCTGTTACTTCTTTCAGTAACGAGTAATCTAACTAATTACTTTGGCTGGAACTTTGACTTATCGTTATCATTGCCGACACCCCGTTACTGCACGTTACTCAAGTCGCACAATTAACTTTTTTTTAAACTTCATGAACATATTTCCTTTACAATCTAAATGTCTACAGTTGAGAGGATGGCTCATAAATTGTGTTTTTGACAACAATTATGGGTCTTAATCGCGCTCAACCACGGCTTGTAATTTCACCAAGTGAGGCCAGCCTCAGAGTAGGGGGCGCATGTGAGCGCAGATTTTGGCTGCATCCGATTCCATCAGAAAGCTCCTTTCTTGTTCTTCATCTGCTAAGGGCAGCAACAGGTTTTGCTAAAATACATATAGCACATTTTAAGATAATTTAAAATGCACTTAGGGTAATGTTCCAATGACGATAGGAATGATGAGAAAGAGAAGTGAAGGGTAAGAAGGTTGATTTTAGAAATTGGATGCACCCGAGATTCGGCTGTAGCTAGCAAAACACGAGAGGAGTTTATGGAGGAGACACCCATTTTGTTTTACTTTTTATAACTCATTGGACTTATTTCTCAATGGAGGATTACTGGTTTGTGTTTGCTTATTGACAGTGACGGGTGTTGGTGTTGAGTGCTTACAGCACACAGAGAAAGACGGAGAGTGTGTAGGACTCCAGCAGTAAAACAGCCTTTTCCAGATGGAAATATCGGCACTATTTCAAACTCACTGAGGTTAATGGTAAAAATGTGCACGTCGAGTGCACATTATGTTCCAGAACAAAACTAAAATGTAACGCAAAAAGTTACTTTTACTGGTAACTAGTTACTTTTATAGTGGAGTAACTCAGTTAGTAACTCAGTTATTTTTTGGGAGAAGTAACTAGTAACTTTAACTATTTACTTTTTCAAAGTAACGTGCCCAACACTGGAACAACGTTCAAAAGAACAATATATAGTATTTGGTTGTTTTCGGGCGACAGTAGCTCAGTTGGTAGAGCATTGGCCTGCAGGCCTGAAGGTTGTGGGTTCAATTCCCACCTCTACACCTTCTCCACCGACTCCCACTGATGACTGCTGTCGTTGTGTCCTTGGGCAAGACACTTAACCCCACTTTGCCCAAAGCTCCCACTGAAAGATCAAGGCTATGCTCACACTCAGAGAGCAGCCGTCCTCCTGTGGACTCACCACCTGCAGAGGGTCAGTGAGGGGCTGGTGCTATGAGACTTGGGTGGCATCTCTGATTGCCACCCCCCTGACCCAGAAATGGATTAAAGGGTAGAAAATGGATGGATGGATGGTTGTTTTCTTGAGGATTAGTTTTAAAATGAGGTATAACATGCCATGGTAGCCCAGAACCTCCTATCATCAATGATTATATATATTAAAAGTTGCTAAACCGTAAGTATCAGCAGATAAAAAAGGGAGAAAAAAAAGAGAAAAAAAAGGCCCTTTTTGAGTTATTTCTTTTTTGTTTTTCACTTCTCAAAATATAGATCCAAGCCAACAGAAAGTATGGCCCACACTGTGGCCCTGTGTCGACACTGTCTGTATTGACCGCTGTGCTTGTGTCTGTAGGAGCACAAGGTTCTCCTGACCGGGACGCCTCTCCAAAACTCTGTGGAGGAACTATTCTCACTCCTCAATTTCCTGGAGCCACAGCAATTTCCCTCCGAGAGCACCTTCTTAGAAGAGTTTGGAGACCTCAAGACAGAAGAGCAGGTCAGTGGAATGGACCAATCCCAGTGGAAAACAACAGCTAGATACACATGTTTGGAAGTCACTCGTTTAAATGAACGGAGCTTGTGCCGGCCGACGCATGCGCAGATGCGTTTTTTCACAATTTTCTTGTGGGCGGGACGACTCGCTGCCATTTTGGATTGCTCCAGTAGAGCACATTTTTTGGCCCATTTGCTTGAACGGCGGAGATAGGCGTGACTACGTCCGTAAATATATACAGTCTATGGTTTGGACACATGTTTTTTTGGAGACAAATCATGCAATTTTTTTGAGCTTTTAACCATGTGACCTGGAGTTGTGTTTAGATCCACCCACACTAATATCAGGAATTTCTGGCACAAAGATGTAACTCCACCTGTTGTCTAAAAGCTCCTATCTCAGTCCTGTAATAATATGTCATTGTACCACTATGACAAAAGTTAGTTAGTTAGTTTTAGCCATTTCTCAGGAGAAATTACATTCTTTTCAAACAGACGGTCACCAATTTTCAATTTGTATTGCATAGGGATAGGGCAGAGCGATAGCATTAGCCTTAAAACTTGGTAGTCGTTTCATGCTTTTGAATGTGAAATTCATTCCAGATTGTGGATGGAGGAAAGGCGGTTGAAAAGAAAACACGCAGAAAAGAGTGGAAAAGTAGAAAAGTTTGTCTAGCAGCTGCGTGTTGCCATGTTGAATCCCGCACCGTCTCGAGCATAGACATATTAAGAGTAGACGCCGCATCTACCGCTACTTCCTATTGGCGCTGACGAGCCGTCATCTTGGACCGGTCGCTCGCTCCTCTCAGTGTAATCTGTTTAGCAGGCGCAGTGACGTGTCAGCGCATTTAATCAATCTTTACTGTAAACGTCACAGATGTAGCTATGATACAGGGTACATGGTTTGGCGTATATTATTCTTAGTCGGTTTAACAGTAATGTAATATTCTGATTAATGATTATGTGATGAATGATAGATATTTTTGCAAAACACACAATGTTATGTATTAACAAAAGTTAGGGACATTTGACTTTCAAGTGAAATGTATGGAAAATTATGCAACAAGTGACACTGAACAGTTATACACTAATATATGATCAAACCCTTTATGTACACAAATATATGATAGAAGCCAGTATAAACACTATGATAGAACCACTTATATATCTATACACACCATACTGTATATACACTAATATATGATAGAACCTTGTATATACACCAATAAATGAAAGAACCCTGTATTTACACTAATATATGATAGAGCCCTATATATAAACTATAAACAACAACAGTTGGTGGCAGTAAACGTAATAAACTCAGCCTTTTTAATGAGTTGAAAAATTAAGAAACAATGTATGAATACATACATTTCCTATCTTCATATTTCCTATGATTCCTACTTCTTCCTATTTTCCTCATACAAATGATTTGGAACTTTTCTTCAACAAAATTCAAATTTTTATAGTGAACCAAAGCTGATGAAATTGTGACTTAGCTTGTTTGCTCTTCAATGGTCAGATCTTATTTTGGTAATAATCTAATCACAAACTACAATCAACAATAATGGTCAAACTTACTTGTGAAAAGTCATCCCCAAGCCCTGTTTTGAATAGTCCCCCTATTTTGACAACAATACGCCACACTGCGCTCAGGCATCGCGCTGCAGGTTAACCGGTCCAAGATGGCGGCCACATTTCTCATTCCCTAGCGGCCAATGCAGCGGCGACTCTTTATGTGTCTATGGTCTCGAGTGTTGCGTGCACTAAGCCTGCCCTGCATTCACTGAGCCAGCCTCAGTGAACTAAATATTGTTAGAAAATAGTCTGAGTATCATTTTGACCAATATGAATGTGTAATGTAGCTGCACTATCTAACTTTTCTGGTGGAGGAATTATCATTTATTATTTTAGACAGTGGTTTACACCCATTTCCTAAACACACATCCAATGTATGCTGACTCTGTCTAAATGCTGCAGGATTCATTGATTTCGCAATTCAAACAAAATTGCTAAATGATTAGTTGCAAATTAGCAGCTAAACTGTAATAATTCAATGTCAGTTACCTCTTTTACTTCTAAATTACACACATTTGTGTAGAGTTCTTTTATAACTGTTTGTATTACTCTCAAGCTCACATTTCAATAAAACATTCAGACTGCTGCCTGTGCCCTTTTCCTCCTGACTGCAGTGTTATGTGCAGGTGAAGAAGCTCCAAGCCATTCTGAAGCCCATGATGCTGAGGAGGCTGAAGGATGATGTGGAGAAGAACCTGGCACCCAAAGAGGAGACCATCATTGAGGTACTGATCTTCTCTCCAGTTATTCTCGTGTTAGTTAAGAGTATTCAAGAACTTCTTTCAGCACAAAGAAATAATAACAAAATGATTCTAGTAGGGTTGGAGGATTTGAATGTCAGCTTCCTCCTTCCTCCTCCGTCGAGCAAAGACGTGTCTCAGTCCGCTGCTGCTTCTGAACGGCTTGCTATCTCCTGTTTTGTCTTTTTTCCTGGAGTTTTGCCACAGACAACTTAACAGAATGGAAATTATTAACTGGTCCCTCAACGCAATTGATTCTATCTTTTCAACACGTAAGCGTGGGTCTGGAGAGCCCGTGTGCCCGGACGGGACTTCACCAGCGGGGTATACTCTCGACAGCTGGAACAAGTTTCAGCCCCTCTGTCTGTCGACCCTGTCCATTGAAGATTCGGAAGACGTATATATCTTTGGCATTTTGGTGGTGGGAATCCTCCTGTTTGGGTTTGGAGCGATCCTGTTCTACCACAAATTCGGTGGCATGGCAGTTCGCAAGATTCACGACCTGCTGGCCGACAAAATTGATGGGATGTACACGGAGCTAAGCCGTGTCGTGGTTGAGAGTGCCGTGTCTGGACAAAGGAGAGTGGTTTTAGTGGAACAGTTGATCAAAGATCTCGCAGCTCGTTCACTCGAAGGGAATAAAACTCTGGAATTGAGATTGAATGACATTGTTTGTCAGGCTTGAACTCTCTGACCCGGCTTGGATTTGCCCCTGTGTACGGAGGTCTGAGGGCGCCGTAATTCGGTTTAATTGGAATTAATAGAATATCTGCCTGCTTTTGATGCTACATTGCATATAATATTGTCCCTCTCAGGCGATGTGTTTTTCTCCTGCTGTGTCTTCTCTCCACTCTTATCTCACATTCCTCGACCAAGGCCATAAACAAGGTCCCACAATCTACAACAACTCACACTATTTCAGTCTCCAGCAAGGATCCCTCACCCCCGCCTCCCTCTACCTATCCATCTTGCTCCCTCCCTCCCCTCCATTCCTTATTGTTTTCCTACTCACCCCCTCCCTGATCCCGCCCCCCTCTGACAGCTACATTGGGCCGGCCGCCGGAGGTGCTCATCCCGAGAAAAAAATCTGTGGTTTATAAAAAGCACAATGTGTCTATCCAATTGTCTGTGAACTGTATGTTATTGCTCTCTGCTGTTTCTTGCTGCACACAGCGCCGCAAATGGCGAAGTGGCACGCTCTCTGCCAAGACAATTTCCAAGTGATAACTTTGTTACTCACGTGGCAATAAAAATGATTCTGATTCTGATTCTGATATTAAAAGCTATTTAAGATATATTATACATACAGAAGTAGGGGTCTGCTAATATTTTGTTTTAATATAAATATAAAATGTATGTCTAATACAAAGGTTTGGACACACCTTCTCATTCAAAGAGTTATTTATTTTTATGATTATGAAATTTGTAGATTCACACTGAAGGCATCAAAACTACGAATTAACTCGTATGTAACTTTGTACGTACTAAAAAAAAGTATGAAAACACTTCAAAGTAGCCCCCTTTTGCTCTGATTACTGCTTCACACACTTCACACTGCTGCATTCTCTTGATAAAATGGCCAACAGTTTTGAAGCACCACCCATATGTATATACATGTATATAGGTCCTTACAGAAGGGTACATTTTAAAATTTCATATTTTTTCAGCTTTAGCAGGAAAAACTCTCCTGGTATTTTTTTTTTTTTTTAAATTCTGACAACATTTACCTACCTTCAATGAGACACTATCACTTACAGCAGGGAAATAACATATCACACTATGCTGAAATTTAAAATGCCTCCGTTATCTCAAATTGAAGGGCTGAGAGATTTCCATTCAGGGATACTTGGTATTAGCTTTCAGCCCAACAATTCACTTTTTACTGACTATCCTCTCAGGAACAAGGAGTTGTATACTAATGTCAGTGTAGCTATGCTATGATTGGGGCCTTGCTGAGCGTATTGGGGGGATGTCGTTTGACACAAAAGCCTCCAAAACAATGGAGCTTGTATCCTGATTGAACAGCAGCTCCAGAAAAATCTCCTGTACTTTGCCGCCATCTTGTCCTTGAGCTGCTTCTCGCTGTCATGGTCCGAACGTGCCACGGTTTAAGCGCTTCCAAGAACGCTGGCAACATTGACCAGAGTTTGAGTCAGGTTTGAGTTGCTATGATGGCCTACCCCTACACTCCATCCAGCCTGGACTTAGCCAAGGCAGCCCTGAACAAACTCAAGGGGCATCTGTGGTATTTCTCAGATGAGCTTGTCGCTCTAGCATTTTTTGAGCCGCAGAAGACAGAGGAGAACTAAGCTGGGTATAGGCGGGCTTAGCCTCCGTAAAGAGAACATAAATGCTGCTAAAACCTGGAACAATCTTCCTGAAGATGTGAGACAGGCCTCTCTGACAATGTTTAAAACCAGGTTAAAAACGGTTCTGTTTAGCTGTGCATACAACTGAGGGATTTTATATTTTTATCTTTCTTTTTAATGTTCTGTGATTATTTATGATTTTAATGCTTTCTTGTTATGTTCAGCACTTTGAGTTGCCTTGTGTATGAATTGTGCTATACAAATAAACTTGCCTTGCCTTGCCTTGCCTAAATAGATATTTGGGATAGAAACAGAATCAGAATCATTTGCATTGCCATGTAAGTAACTGGAGGCCACAGACAAGGAAATTGCTTTGGCTCTCAATGCAATCAAGTCAGATGTTAAAACTTAAAATTGTATTCAAATATGTATTTTCTCCCGAACGATGAGTGACCCAAGGGGTTGGAGGGAAATATTTACAGGTCACCCAGGGAGGGGTAGTCCAATTGAGACAAAAATTCACGAGGGGAGTTTTTTCAGTTAATCCAACAAATTTAATGGGTTGGAGCTTACAATTACAGAAAAATAATGCATAATTTGGCCGATAGTTCGAAATGCAATTAAATACTTTTAAAGCTGTAATTAAACTATACATTTTTTTAATTGCTGTCAAACAATAAAAAAAATGTATTGTTTAATTACAGCTTAAAAAGTATTTCGAACTATCGGCCAAATTATGCATTATTTTTCTGTAAATGGTTGTTTGAATGGAGATACACATGTCTACATAGTGTACAAATGTACAGTATTTTTTTGTTATAACAATAAATCCACATAAAATTGCATTAACATTATTAACATTCTGTCTTAGTAGACTCAAAACTATTGTTTGTTACAGGGATGGGGACATTTAAAAACAGTCTGAAATGCATATATATATGATGCATATATATATATATATATATATATATATATATATATATATATATATATATATATATATATATATATATATATATATATATATATATATATATATATATATATATATATATATATATATATATATATATATTAATTATATACACACACAAATAGAACGTGTGTGTGTGTATACATATGTATGTATATCCAATACTATATAGCAGATCAAACCTCAAGGTCATCCTTAAGGTTGAACATTTGTATTTAGCTGATTTGGATGTGTTTGCAGGTGGAGTTGACCAACATTCAAAAGAAGTATTACCGAGCTATCCTGGAGAAGAACTTCTCGTTTCTGTCTAAAGGAGCCAATCAGCACAACATGCCCAACCTCATCAACACCATGATGGAGCTGCGCAAGTGCTGCAATCACCCCTATCTCATCACAGGTTTGGCTTTTTATGTCCGCAGTCTGTATGCAGTCCCTGCATTATCAGCTGTCCCTGAGAAGGTAGAACACTGTGTGGTCTTATCCACAGTAAGACAGGCTGAATAAGTCAAATCTATCTTTAGAATATCCAAAATAATCGTTTAAAAGGAGGGAATATAAACACTCATATTTTGTCATCAACTCTAATGATAAGCACCTCCATGCACTTGTTGTGAGGGTGCGCTCTGCGTGCTGAAGGAGTCATAGACTCACTGTATGTGCCTAAATAAAGTGCAGATTAGAGCTGCAGCTATCAACTATTTTTGTAATAGAGTATTCTATCAAATATCCCAATCGAGTAATCAAATACATAATGTTTTTTTTTTAAAGAAGGCTTAATTATAAATATACAATAGCAAATTACAAACCACTTAATAATGATGATTATGATATTTCTTGCACTAGAATATACAGTATACTAGCTTCTTTATTATGTTAAAGTTAGGGAAACTGAATGCTGTTTTAACTACAGTCCTACCTGACAAAATCACAAACACAAAAGACATCCTTCCGGCATATTCAATCTTGGTTGCCTTTTCCAAGGAGAAGTGATCTTTGAAACAGAGACAGAGCAGAGATGGCTGTGTCCCTCCTTCCAAAACCAGATCTTACCTATGGAGCTATTATTGTTTCAATAAAATGTGTGTGCAGGTAAAGGGATTTGTGCGTTTGTAACCAGATTTGTGTGTGCGTAACCAGATTTGTGTGTGCGTAAAAAGATTTGTGCGTGCGAATCCGGATTTGTGAGTGTGTAAAAAATGTGTATTACTTTTTACGCACACCGATCTTTTGACACAATCCTGCCTTCGCAGATTCGCAAGTGTAACTTGGACTGTGTGCGTGTGTACCCAGATTTGTGTGTGTGTAATTTGACATTTGTATCCGTAACTAATGTAAATAACCACGTTGTAAGAAGAGAACAAAAAAAAAAGCTGTAAGTGTAATGTGGTTGTACTGTTGGAGCTGGTTGTTACACGGAACCAAAATAAAATAAATGAGAATATAATAATGATAATATGTATGTACCATAGACGCGTGGCCAGAACCATAGACGTGCAGCCACCATAGACGCGCGGACAGAACCATAGACGCGCGGACAGAACCATAGACGCGCGGACAGAACCATAGACGCGCGGACAGAACCATAGACACAAAGACAGAACCATAGACACGCAGCCACCAAAGATGCGCGGACAGAATCATAGACGCGCAGACAGAACCACAGACGCGCAGCCACCATAAACGTTTGGACAGAACCATGGACCAGAGCTGGGTAGCTGTAGTGTGAAGCCCAACGCACACCGAAACGCCTTGACGCGCGGCAAAAGAGCCGCCTCCTTTATTTTCTATGAGAGAACGCACACCAAGGTTGCAGTGACGCGCGGCGACGCTGGACCGGGCGCCACGATTCAGTTTTGTTGAATCCAGACGCGGCGCCGCGGCTGAAACTGTCCCTCCAAGCACCCGTAGTTTTCTTCTTCTGCGCTTCTTATCACGTAGCTGTGAGCGCGGTCTCAAATTTACACACTTGTCGGCGCTATTGCTCAAGTAAACCGGTCACAATGGACGAGGAAAGCTTGATAACCCAAGTACAGCGTTACCCAGAGCTAGTTATTAGCCTGTTTAAAAAATGGGTCCAAATAGTCTTTTCTTGTAATATTTGCCAGCATAATTTCACGTAAATACTTTGTTTCCTCCCCCAAAATATTAGTAGAAACTTCCAAACGTCACTCACCCATTTCATCTGCGATCAGCTGGAAAAGGACGCTAGCCAAGGCGTTCCGGTGTAATTTGACACATGTCATGAACGCGCGTCAAATGACGCGCCGCGAGGCGCTGCGTTTCGGTGTGCGGTGAGCTTTAGGCTTGTTGTAGATGAGAGAGTCCCGATATCAGTCAACTTCGGCCTTGGCCAATGGAATGTGGGAAGATTAGGAGAGGAGCCGCAGACGCAGGGAGAAAAACACATTAGCCTTGAAGGGGACAATTTATGTGAGCAATGTGCAGATCGAAACAAGGAAAAATACACTATAAATCCAGTTGAACCGAATTACTGGTGCCCTCGGTAACCTCCGTACACAGGGGGCTTTCCGTGTGGGGTCAGAGAGTTCAGGCCTGGCAGACAATATCATTCAATCTCATTTCCAAAGTTTTATGTCCCTCCAATGAACGCATTGCAAGATCTTTAAGCAAATGTTCAAACCACCACAAGGGTCAACTCCTTGTACTTCTCCTCAATTTTCGTTGGACAGCTTGTCGTAAATTTTATGAGCTGCCATCCCTCCAAGCTTGCGGAAGAAAATGAACGCTCCGAGCCCAAAAAGGAGGATCCCAACCACCAGAAATCCAAAGATATAGATAAGATAAGATAAGATGTGCTTTATTTATCTCACAGAGGATAAATTTAAATGTCACATTTGGCATGGATATATGTACAATAAAAGTGACAATAATTATGTACAACAAAAGTGACAAGTGTCAAAAATTGGAAACAGTGTCTATAGTAGTGCAGGTTTTCACACAGTGATCATTTAAAGTGACTTATTGTACAGTCTGACAGCAGTGGGGATAAAGGCCCTGCGGTAGCGCTCCTTCCTACACTGAGGGTGCCTCAGTCTTCCACTGAAGGAGCTCCTCAGCACCTCTACAGTCCTGTGCAGTGGGTGGGAGGTATTGTTCATGATGGAGGTGGCTTTGGCTAGCACCCTCCTGTCCCTCACCTCCTCCACAGAGTCCAGGGAGCAGCCCAGAGTGGAGCTAGCCCTCCTGACCAGCTTGTTCAGTCTGTTTCTGTCCCGCTCTGTGCTGCCCGGGGCCCAGCACACGGCAGCGTAGTAAATGGCAGAAGCTACCACAGAGTAATAAAAAGTCCTGAGCAGAGGCCTGCTCACTCCGAAGGACCTCAGCCTCCTCAGAAGGAAGAGGCGACTTTGGCCCTTCTTGTGCAGGGCGTTTGTATTATGGGACCAGTCCAGTTTATTGTTAATGTGAACACCCAGGTACTTGAAGCTGTCCACCAGCTCAATGTCCTCCCCCTGGATGTTCAGCAGCGTGTGGGAAAGTGGTTTTCCCCTGAAGTCGATAATCATCTCCTTGGTCTTACTGGTGTTCAAGCACATGTGGTTGCGCCCACACCAGTCGACAAAGTCCTTGATAACCGACCGATCTTCCGAATCTTCGATAGACAGGGGCGACAGACATAACGGGTTCCACTTCCCCCAGCTGTGGTAAGTGTAACCCGCAGGTGCCGTCCCGTCGGGGCAGGAAGCCTCTCCCGGACATCCCTTACGCATTGAGGGACCAGTTAATGATATCAATAATTCTTGTTAGAGTTGTCTGTGGCAATAACTCCAGTAAAAAGACAAAAACAAGATAGAGCAAGCGGTCAGAGCAGGAGCGGTCTGAGGACACGTCTGTGCTTGACGGAGGCGGAAGAAGTTGTGAAGTTGTGAACACACATCAGGCTATTTTTAGACGTATTGGGGAGGCCTATTTTTTTCCGCTGATTTCATACTATTATTATTCTTTTTCCGCAGAAACAATTACATTTTTGACCCTGAAGACATGCTTGAAAGTCTGCACATGGGGGGTCTAAAACGACCGGTTCGGCGAAACATTTGATAAAAGTAACGTTTCGAGATTTTCCGACAAAAGGCGACTTGATTGCGACCCCTTGAAAACTCTAAATTTTCCATTACTGTTGGAGCCATGCATTCATATTTTGGAGTAGGTACACAAAATTCGGATGAGTGATAGATCTCTATGAGACGAGCATAAAAGCCGGTCTAAGCACATGTCTGGGACCAACAGGAAGTCGGCCATGATGGTCTAAAGTTTTGCCGCTAATTTGACTTTTCATTTTTAGGCTGCGGTCACATGCGCAGCCTAAAGCCTGGTTAAAGTGTGCCAGGCCCCGCTTCGCAGTTTTATCCGGGGTTTAGCTGCCATCTGACCACGGCATTCGCACCAGAGCACGGTTCCTGGAATCGTCCCCTGGCCCGATTGAAGACATGGGCCGAAGCCCGTGCTGGAGCGCGGACGAGGGGGGTCAGTGTGAAGAGCGCGGGATGAGGTGCGATATAGAGCGTCAGATTACGCCTTCCTCCTACGCCCAGTGTGACGTGTATAAAATGCGTCCACAACTCTGCAAACACATTTTGACTTGTAGAACTGCAGAGATGTCTAGCTTCAAGGGCTCTTGTTGGTCTGACCTGGAGACCGAGTGCTTGATAGAGATCTGGTCGGACACATCTCTCCAGGACATGCTCAACAAGACCCACAAGAATACGCTGGTGTTCAAAAAAAGTAAGCAAGTACCTGGCGGAGAGGGGCTACAACAGGTCTGTGGTCCAATGCCGGGAAAAGATCAAGAAGCTTAGGACTCAGTACCATCGCGTCCGCAGCCTGATGAGCAAGTCCGGCTCTTCCGCGGAGGAAAAGGAGAATTTTCCGTGGTATGAAGCTGTGGACGGGATACTGGGCACCAAGACAACCACCCGGCCAAAACTGTTGGAGTCAACTCGTCGTGTGCAATTGATAAGTGGTGAGTATTGAAACCCCAGCTATCTATATGAGTTTCCATTTACAAAACACCTACAAACTACATATCGAATGTGTATGACGATGATGTGTTGTAAATATTGAATTGAACGTACCAAAGTAGGCCTTGGGGGTTGTTCACTTTTGTTTGCGTGGCCCCCGGCGCCTATGCTAATGCATGCTTCTTTTTTTTTTGCAGCCGAGCAATCTACAGAGACCGATACAAGCCTCGGAGAAGAAAGGGCAGTTACACCCCTGGAGATGCCTGAACCAGCAGCAACGAGCACACCTGGTCCACGGCAGGCGACCAGCAGACCCAAGGCTGCTGATATGTCTGGGTCAACTGAGACGGTAGCAGAGGTGAACGTTCCCAGCACCTCGTCAGCAATGCCCATGAGACCGTCCTTGACACAAAGGATG